TAAAGGCATCCTCATATAGCCATCTAATCTTTGGACACAAGCAGACAACCATACGCTGGGAAAGATACTTTTTCAATAAACGGTGCTGGGAAACATGGTTAGCCACCTGTAGAAGGCTGAAGCAGGCAACTTCCCACACTTCACCCTCTCACACCACCGCTCAAAATTCAACTCAATGCTGGAGACAGACTTAAAACTAAGGTTGAAATTTATTAGGAATTCTAGAGGAAATGTTGGAAATACTCTCCTAGAATTGGCCTAAGGCAAAGATTATGAGAAGACTCCAAAGACAATCAGAGCACAAAAATAAACTAAATGGGAACATGATCAAACTAAAAGCTTCCACACGCCAACAGAAATAGTCATGAAGTAAACAGACAACCTATAGAACGGGAGAAAATTTCATGTCCTACCACATCTGATAAGGGCTGATAAACTAGATCTACCTTAGAACTCCGAAATCACAAGAAAACTCAAACACCCTGATGAAAGTGTGCAAAGGAACATGACGAAACTTTCTAAAGAAGACAGATAAGCCAACAAACATAAGAAAAATGTCAACATTCTATTATCGGAAATTGCAAATCAAACTACAATGAGATGTCATTTATTTCCAGTAAGAATGGCTTTTATCAAACGTCCCAAAAACAATAGATGTTGGCATGGATGGGAGAGATAGGAACACTCCTACACTCTGGTGGGACTGAAACTAGTTCAACCTCTGTGGAAAGCAATATGGAGATACTTAAAGTGATACAAGTGGATCTACATTTGATCCAGCAATCCCATTACTGGGCATCTACCCAAAAGATCCAATGACACTACAAAAAAGACACCTGCACTTGAATGTTTATAGCAGCACAATTCATAATTAAACAAGTTTTGGAACAACCAAGTGCCCATCAATTCATGAGTGGATTAATAAATGTGGTACATGTATCACATGGAGTACTATTCAGCTCTAAGAAACGGTGATATAGCACATCTTGTATTTTCCTGGGATAGAGCTGGAACCCATACTACTAAGTGAAGTATCCCAAGAATGGAAAAACAAGCACCACATATACTCACCAGCAAACTGGTATTAACTGAGCAGCACCTACGTGGACACATAGGAACTACATTAATTGGGTATTGGGCAGGTGGGAGGGGGGAGGGGGGCGGGGGTGGGTATATACATACATACATACATAATGAGTAAGATGTGCACTGTCTGGGGATGAGCACACTTGAAGCTCAGACTTGTGGGGGGAGGGGGGTCAAGGGCATTATTTGAAACCTTAAAATGTGTAACCCCATAATATACTGAAATACAAAAAAAAAAAGGAAAAAACAAAACTTTGGGGATTCCAAATATTTTAGAAGTTGTTATCCAGGGAAGGGGACAAAGACCAAATATATATTTCACATGTCACAATCATCAAAACAAGGAAAGTCTGAGGAACTGTCAGAGCCAAGAGGAACCTAAGGAGACAGGATGACCAAATATACTGTGTCCTGGGGGGAGCCTAGAACAGCAAAAGGACAAAAGGGAACAACTGAAGCAATCAGAATAAAGTCTGGACTTCAGTGAATTAGAATGTATCAATCTTGGTTCATTAATTGTGACAAACCATTCTTTTTTCCCCATTTACTTTTTATTTGTATCTATTCATGGGGTACAAGTGCAAGTTTGCTACATTGATTTATTGCCTTGTAGTGAAGCCAGGGGCCTCAAGGCATCCATTACTCTACCTCCAAACAACTTCCCATCCCCCCCATCCCCTCCGAGTCTCCACTGTCCATCCACTGTCCATCGTTCCACACTAGTGTCCACCTGTGCACAGTGTTTAGCTCCCACTTACAAGTGAGAAAAAATGTGCCATCTTAATGTGAGATGTTGATGATGGGGAAACTGGGTGTGGCGTATATGAGAACTCTTTGTATTACACTGTCTTTGTAGTGACACTAAATCTGAAACTGTTCGAAAATGAAAAGTTATTTTAAAGAGTCAACAGGAGCCACTTTCGAATCATGAGAGTTGTTTCGAATCATGAAAAACCATTTTTGTCATCTGATCTCCAACCTCCTGCCCATGCTCAGGACATCTGTGGGTGGAGCCTCAGCCCGTCCTCTGGGTCAAGGACAGTTCCCACCCCCGCACTTCTCCCCTCCCCCCTGCCAGCAAGGTGTGAGGGAAAGGAAGTCAGAGAAAGCACCTCTGAGACCCCAGGCCTCTGCTTTCCGTACTCCAACCACATTCCCATCTACTCTCAGGGAAACAGTCCACATTCAAAATTGACCACCCTCCTGACTCGGCCCCGCAGGAGCCACTGGGAAGAGGAGCTCGATCACACCGTGAAGTTCAAGTCGCTTGCTGTGCTGGGCTGCCTGTTCCCAGGACGGTTCAGTCCCCGCTGCACATCGACACCACTCGCTAATCGGAACCTGAGACTGCAGGAGTGTGGAAGCCCCCAGTGCTTCATCGTTAATTTCATGAGTTAGTTCGGCTGCAAAAAACACAGAACAGAAACTCATTAAAGGAGAAAATGCCAATGTTTCTCTTCCTGCGCCGGCTCTTCGTGGCTGGGTGCTGGCCATCTGGGCACCCGGGCCACCGCGCGAAAGCGCCTTCTGGACGCTGTCTTTCCAGACGTTTTGAAACTGTCTTTATGAACACAGCGACCTTCCTAACGGGGAGGCTTCACTGTGGTGGCCACGGTGGCAGGTCGGAGGCCGGCTGAGGCAGCTGGCAACAGGACAGGTGGAAGGATCCTGGGCGTGCAGGCCGGCAACTGCGGGCTTCTCCCCGAGCGTCTGGAAACAGCCCGGGGCAGGGTCTGCCTGCCAGGGAGCTGGTGGTGGGTGGCTTTGGTGGGACAGCCTTTCCCTCAAGCCAGAGCTTGGGCTTCACTGCCCTCAGGCCCCAGCCATGGCACAGGCAGAATGTGGACTCAAGGGCTGGCGCAGACCCCGCCAGCCGGTCCAGTGCCAGTGCCTGCCCTGCGTCCCGGGGTCCGGCTTTGGAGAGCAGTGCCAGCTCGAAGCAGGACGATGGTGCCCCGCAGAGGGCAAGGCCGCAGTGCCTCCAGAGTCCTCGTTGCCTTTCGGAGCGGACCCCCTTCTGTGTCTTGTGAGTGGTGCCGTCCCTGAGAGGATTCGTGGTGCTCCAGCGTCGCCACCCGCCCTTGCATGCGCCAGCCCCGAGCTCGGCCACCGCCCCCTTGTCTGGGAACCCGGTGGTCTGCGCCCTCTGGCTCTTCTGGGATTCGTGTTTGCTGGCCTTGACCCTCTGAGTCCTTACAGGCTTTGCCTGTGGCCCCGAGGGGCTCCTGCCTCTCTGGCGCCCGGCCGCTGGCCAGGCATGGCCACTGGCTGGCTCCTCCCCGGCCTCCTTCCTGCCCTGGATTCATGTTTCTCTTCCTTTCCTTCCGACTTCTGCTGCCCCTCCACCGCTACAACAGCAGAACGTTAGCAAGACTCTGCGTCTAGAGTTCATTCAGTTCTATAGTCTTTGAACTCAAAATGAATTTAGCCCACTCTGCAGACACGCATGAGCTGAGGCCAGCAAGGATACAGGTCTTTCAACCGTGGCTGCAGTGAAGAGGGTTTGTCTGTGAGGAGAAACCTTTCAATGGAACCACCTGGGAGTTGAGTTGGCTTGTAAGAAAGATAAGAGGTTAGATCTGCAGCGATGACTGGTCCTGCTTCAGGTCGGGCCTGCCATCAGGGCGCATTGCCTGACCCGAGCAGGAGGTGGCCTTTCCCGCTTGGGTCCTAGGCAGTACATTAGCTCTTCTAAGGCGTCGCAGGAAGGTCACGGTGTTTCCTCCATGAAGGACAGAGACGGCCTCTGCCTCATCTGCAGCCTCACATGCCTGCGATCTCTGGTATCAAGTGACAACGATAGACACCAAGGGCCATCCCGAAGCCTGCTGGGGCTGGCAGCCCCGGCAGCCACGCGCCCTAACTAGGCTCCCTCCAAGCCCTGCTCACTGCCAATAGATGGCTGAGAACAGCGAAAGTCACAGTGGCCATGGTCATTTATACACAACTCCACATCCCATGCTGCCACTCACACAGCACACAGACAATGAGAGGTTCCCTCAACTGGTGGTCAGAAGATGGGGGCCCAGGACTGAAGGGCTTCCTGGGCTGTGGGACTTTAAGTGGTAAAACCATGATTGTCCCAGCAAAACCAGGGCAGTTGGTTGCCATTCTAGAAGGGCTCAATGCAGAGATCAAGAGGAAGATGACCTTGGGCTGCTCTGGCTAATAAACATTTGTAGGTTCTATATAAACTTAAACTCATTAAATCAATGTGTATGTGTATGTTATTCTTTCAAAGACTTAGGGCTTCTTAATGCTTCTTGTGCCTAAAAAACCACAATAAATTCCTTGCACAGCCAACTTTTGAGGTTCTCACCCCTCCTTTTTTTCTCAACCGAAGTTCTTAGGAAAATACTTATGGGCACCAACAAGTCTGAGTGCCTTGAGGCTATATTTAGCAGAAGTAACAGTGCCTGTTTCCTGCTTCCCTGCAAGAATCAGGTGTTAAGACCTTAGATGCCTATTAAAAAGCAAGTGGGCCCAGTTGCTAGCCCAGGAATGCCATATAAAAGGCTGTTTGTGTGAAAACAGGTGGCATTGTCCTCTTCTCATATTAGTGCGAGCGTTCTGCAGAAAGTCAAGCCACAGCACGCTCGTTTACCTTTCTCCCCGCGGCAAACACTCCCAACGCTTGTGACTGGCATTCCTGGAAAGTCCCTGTTCCCGAGCCGTGCTTGTTTGTAACCTTTGTGAGTGCTGGGGGCCGAGCCTTGGTGCGGGAGGGTGGTCATTAGGAGAGGGCTCTGCTCACAGTGTGGCCAGCCTCTGAGAACACACTTGCTTGGCTCGTCACCTTGAAATCAAATGAAGAGCCCTGGGGCTTTCCTGAGAGCTGACAGGAATGCTCCGGGCTTAGTCCACCGGGTGTCTGCAAAGTGTTTGATTTGCTTTCTCTTCTGTCCTCATTGCAGATGGCACACACTGATGAAATAACCCATGAGATTATTGGCTTTCTTGACCAGACCTTGTACAGATGGGATCGTCTTGGCATTGAAGCCCCTGGAGCAGGAGAACTGGCCAAAGAGCTCCTTCAAGAACTGCATGCTCAAGTCCAGCAAAGAATGTAGACCAGGTGGGTGCCACGTGTGGCATCAGCCTCGGCAAGGCCGTGGGATAATTGATGAGACCCCTTTTCATGGGCACCAGTGTGTGAAGTGCCCTCTTTGAGCTGTGGGAGTGAGCCGTGCACAGCGGTGGTAGTACACATCTTACAGAATCTGAAGGCAGGTGCTTCATCCCAAACTTAGTCACATTTATTCCTTAATGACTGGAGTATGCCTTCCCTGCCCGGACAAGGAGTCAACTAGAGAATTATTAAAGGAAAAGGAGAACACATGTTTATTTCCATTTTTAGCTACATCAAGCCAAAATGCACTATTATTTGAGTGATTCAAAGTGTTTGGACCATGAAATTGGTCATGGACCACTCAATAATTTAGAGAGTAACTGAGTCCTTCCCACAAATCTATTTTTTTAGGAGTTAGGAGATCATTATTGGTATTTCTTTTAGTCAACAGGGATCTGAGATAAAACCACACTGTTTTGCTTCCCTAAGAAATTCCTCACCCAGGAGAGTCAGATCCCTCAGTTTCCCCTGGCTGCTCCCAACCTACCCTCCAAACTGAGGGAAAACAGCACGGCCAGGCCCAGTGGCAAGTGGTGGTGGCAGGGCCACCAGGGGACCCTGCTGTGGAGGCTACACTGGGTAGCAGTGACAGAAACCAGCGCTTATGCTTGCTCCTTGCTTTGTGTTTGCTAAACACGGCCTGCTCCTAGAGAGCTCACGCTCCTGATGTCAAAGGTCGCCGAGGGTGAGGGTGTGGGATGTGTATAGAAACATTAGAAGATTTTGTTACACCAGTTGTCCTGTTACACCAGAATGAGAACTGGAAATTCCTGATAAAGAATTGTAACCCCAAGGTTAATATTTATTTTATGTCAGTTGAAGATATTCTTATTTCCTTTCAGATTTACTCTGAACTTGTACCGATTGCATATTCTTTTGTGCATATTCTATTTGTCGAGTGAGTCAAGACTTTGTCCATTTTGATTTATATGTTAGTGGTCTGAATCTTGGCTCCTGTTGAGGTATTAATAAAGCTTTGTGGGATCAGAGGTTAGCCTTAGGGGAATTACTTGCTTTGGTGTAGAGTAATACTAATGGATCCACCTGAAGATCTGGAAAATTCTAAGAACTTTTGACCTGAGCCTTTCTTTTGAGAAATACAGTATGAAAGGTGTACTGTTAATATATTTTCGTCACAACCACTACAATTACCATTACTTTCACATGAAAATGCTTCATCAAAATGTATAGGAGTTGGCATAGGAAATAATTTCATTTGGAGTTGAGGACATCTCTTCTGTTTTGACTCTGAACCGTAGCTATTGTTCTGCCATGGAAACTGTGATCCACCTCTGTGGACATGGAAAAAGGGGCTCAATTTGGTGGCAGTGAGCAGCCCCTAAAGAGGGGCCACCAGGACAGGCCCCTGTGGTGGGAGGGATCCCTCACAAGTCTGGCCCTGTCACCAGTGTTCTCCTCTCCACCCTGCCTCTTCTGTCTCACAGCAGACAGGGAAAACAAGACAGACAGGGCTCCCAACCCAGACTGTTCAAGCTACACTTCTGCAAGACGTCTTCCTGTTCCGACCTTCCCTCATCCCGTCTGCAGTATCTCCCAACCTTTACAAAGCCTCTGAATCTTCCTGTGCATTGCAGGTTCGGGTTCTGGCCAGAACGCCCTGAGTGGCATGAGTTCGTCTCCACCCTAATCAAGTCCCAGACGGCCCAGTAGGTTCCTGGGTATTGAGGGAACCCTGGAAAGCAGGCACTGGCTTGTTACTGACTTCATTTTCCCCTTTTCATTTCCCGCCCTGCTGACGGTGCTAACGAGGGGAGAACTGCTCAAAGCGGGAACACCCGAGAGCGCATGGGGGCAAGGGCTGCCCCACAGAGGGGACGAGCTGAGGAGCCTCCTCAGACCCTAAGCTGGGCACGTGTGCCCCAGGGAGGTGCCCGCTCTGTCATTCCAGCCACCTAGCGAGAGGTCACAGTGAGGGGGGTGTCCTCTTGAAAACCGACGACAGCAGATACTGCTTCCTGGGCAAGCCCGCACCCAGTGAGGGCAGAGAATTTGGGAGCCGGGCTGAAAATGATTCAATAAACTCTACAGCCTCTGCCAGTTGCCTCAGATTTTCAGGAAAGTCTGGACATGTGGGTTCTTTTAGTTTTTTGAAAGAAGTTCAAATAAGTAGGTGTCCGGCTGGCGGCTGGCTCTGGCGAAAACGCAGCCCGAGGCCTGGAGTGCGGCTCGGGCCCCAGCACGCCGAGCCCGAGGTGCGCGGCAGGTGGCAGGGCCGAGACTAGCGGTGCGACCCGGGCTTACCAGAGTGAGGTTCCTCCCGCACGCAGGGGGGATGTCTTCAGCTTCAACTCGCAGAACATCCCACTAAGAGTGGCTTGAACAAGGAAGATGCTGGATGGTCACAGGCACAGAAAACCCAGAGGTTCTCTGGATTTTCCCTCAGGGTTGCAAGAGGGCCGGTGCACCCACGCCTCCAACCGCATCCAAGCCCTGTGTGCTGGGCCTCCCGTCCTCCCCGACGCTCTTCCCCAGACACTCAGGCCTCATCCCACCCACGGGGCCTTTTCTTCTCCTGGCCCCTTCCTGGAGAGCCCCCAGGACTGGTGCCTGGGCTTGACCCAGTCCTGCCTGTGGCTGCACACGGCACCTGTGCAGAGGGGCCACACCTGCTCCTGGACCACGGGCCCGAGCATCCCACTGGGAGGTCCTGTGATGCTCTCCAACTTAACACACCCAAGGTGGCCTCCTGGCCCCCTAGGCCTCCTGTGACTCGGGTTGACCTTAGTAGTTATTCCTGAGCCTCCCTTTCTCTCACACCCACATCCAATCCATCAGGAAGTTCCCCACTCCGACCACCTCCGCCCTTCCCTGCTACTGCCTCCGCCTTAGACGCCAGCGTCCCCTGCCCATAACGCCTGCTGAGGGAACGCCAACGGGGTTCAGCATATGCTCACGGCACTTCAACAGGGAAAAGATGGTGCTGGGAAATGACGTTCTCTCTCTTCTGCTCCGACCAAAGTAAACATTAAGGAATAAACTCCCAGCCCTCCTTCTCTACCAGATGTCAGCATCTGCAGGACTATGCTCTGGATCTGTGAATGTTCTCCAGAGAAGGCTCTAGCAGTTTTCCTGCTGGGAAAGAGAGGGAGAAATAGGCAGCTGCTGCCGCACTGGGCAGATGGTATATTACTTAGATAACTAAGGATTTAGTTTATGAAACTGGAACTTCACTAGTCCTAAACCATAGAAAGGATTTCTGACCTTTCATTTAGAAATTCCTGCCCATCACTGGTTTGCAGACTTCACTTACACTCTGTTTCCGCCCAGCCTCCCCCACCCTACGCACCCGTGTCCCTGCTGGGGCCAGCTCGAAGCTCTGCGGGTCACTCCTTCGGGGAAGCCTGCCCAGTACCTTGCAGCAGTGGGAGGGGAAAGCCTGGCTCACACCTGCAGTCCGAGCACTCTGGGAGGCTGACGCGGGAGGACCGCTTGAACTCCGAAGAGTGAGACCCCGTCTCTACTAAAAATAGAAAAATCAGCTGGGCCTGGTGGCACACGGTTGTAGTCCCAGCTACTCTACTCAGGGCTGAGGCAGGAGGATCGCATGAGCCCAGGAGTTTGAGGTTGCAGTGAGCTATGATGACACCACTGCACTCTATCCGGGACAAAAAAAAAGAAGAGAGAGAGAGAGAGAGAACATGCCAGCAGGTAAGCCAGCAGGTGTGGTGACACTCAGGCCAGGCCCTGTTATCAGGGTTTTAGCTAACGAAGTTATCCAGAGTTCACACCTGAGGAGACGCACGCATTGAGAGGTTAACCGCTGCGGGACCAGCGTCTGCTGTAGCCACAGCCACAGACGAACGCGCGCAGCCCGAGCGTCGACTTTAGCCGACAGCCTCACGTGATATGACTTTTCTAATTTTTCATTTATCAAAATAAAATTGTGAACATTTAAAAATAACGTAATGAAAACATGTATGCATATGTTACCTATTCTGATTGACATTACAAGTAAAGCTGCCTGTAGAGTAAAACAAGCTTTCAGTGCGTTAAAGCTTTCCTCGTCACACGAGAGCAAAACGGACTCGACGTCAATGCACAGCACAGACTGTCCTGTGGGGACCGTGCGTGCCGGTGCGGGCGAGGTGTCGCGGCCGGTGAGCGCCATACCCAAGTGGTTAAATGACTTGCCCAAGGCTACATGGATGACATCTAGCAGGGCTGGGATTTGAACAGAGGAAGCCCGTGGAGCGCTACCTGTCACTGTTTCTGGAGTGACGAGTTATGGGATATTCAAGCGATGGCGCCACCAACACAGACGAGCAGAGTTATGTGTATGCGCCAATCTTGAAAGGTGCTGCCACCTGGAGAAATCAGTGTGAACCCGAGCATACCCTGTGCGCCCTTCGTGTGTGAAGCAAGGGGTGTCCGTGTGCCCCTGGAGGACGCCCTAGCGTACCTCTGGGGGGACACTCAGGAACCAATCCCACTGCAGTGACGGGCTTGGGGAAGGGCCTAGGTGAACAGGTGGAGACAATTACTTTTCGCTTCCTTATTATGCTTGTTTGCACATGAGATCCACGCAAAGAAAGGAAAGTTGTAGTCGTCAACACACAAAGGAAGAGTCTCGTTCGTTCTAGGAGGGGCTGCTGTGAAGCAACGCTGTGAAGGGAAAGAGGCCTTGGCGCCACCTGGGACTTTGAAAGGAGACGGCTGCATCTGCGTCCCTTGCGCTTTGCCTCTAGTCAGTGGGCCAGCATTCTTATTGCTTGTTCACAGGACTTACGTTCTTGCATTGACATAGTTTTCTAGAAAAAGACAACTTACTCCTTATGGCTGGGTCCATGTACCCTGAGGACCTGGGCGCCCCGAGCACCCCAGCTGGAAAAGGTTGTGGGCCAGATGTCCCCTGGTCCCCGTGCCTCTGTTGCTAACAGTCCCCTCCTGCTCTGCAAAGCGGCCTCCTCTGCCTCCAGGTGCACTGAAGCCATTTCTGCAGTTATTTCTTCCTTGACATAGCATTTAATTTAGTGAAGCAGATAAAATCATAAAGCTACAATTCCTTCCCCTTAAATTATCTTTTCTTTACAATCTAACATAAATGGACACTTGTTCCATTCCATTGGCAATCATTAAAACTGACTCCTATTTGAGCTCTTAGTTATGCCCATAATTCACGTGTTTCTTGAGCCTCTCTCCCTAAACAGAACTCCTGGAAGCCTCTGGAGACTTAAATCGTGCAGTCATAATGTGGAAAACCGGAGTATCAGGGCTGAAGAGTGTGATGTCTTAGCTGGAGGGTGCTCAGAGCTCGCCAGGAGTGGCCAATCCAGTCTTTAGAACACACACTTCTGCCTCCAGAAGTCTGTTCTGCTAGGCTCGTGCAGTAAGTGAGGGCTATGAAGGTGGGAAAGATTTTTCCAGAACTTGGGACTCCTGGTGGTGCAGTGAGGGCCTGACAGGGGTGGGGGTCAGATTCGGCACCTCACCCACCACCCCACAGGCAAGAACACCTCCTGGGCTGGGCTTTAAAGTGGCAGACCAATTCCATACAGGCCCAAGCTGAAAGAAATTACAGGCAAAAGGAGCACAAAGACGGCTTGAGGAAGTAGAATAGAAACCACACGGTGCACACCCAGTCGCCTGTGTGTCCCAGACAAAGCCGCAGATGAGCTGTCTGGCAGGGTGGCCCAGGGCAGAATCTGAGCGGGGCTCTCCTCTCCCAGGTGGCAGCCTGCCTGGGACACGGATGGACAGTCCCCCTGAGGCACCCCAAGCCTGTCCCCAACTCCACCCTCAGTAGTGACTGCGATGGTTGGAGCGGCCAGATGCTGGGTGGGTGGGCCCAGGCTGGGGATGGCAGGGGATCTTCAGAGCAGTTCGTCCTGGCGCCCAGCCCTCTAGTTTGGGTGCAGGGAAGCCAGGCCCGATCTTTGTTTCCAGCGGCACTCTGCGGGGACTAGGTTGCTCCTTGTGAGCTGTCTGCAGTAGATAGGAATGTGTGGCCAGAGAAGTCTATCTGCATTTCCAAATTTGGCCTTGCACACCCCCACAAGCCTGCACACGCAGTCACACAGACACATGCACGGGCTCCTGGTGCCATCACCAGCTCTGAGAGGTCACAGCCTGGTGACCATACGTCCCAGCCTCTTTTCCAGGCCTACGTGAGAACAACAGGGTATCAAGGCTCCTTTCCCAGGCCCAGCCCCCAAGAGGGGCTGCTCTGGCTGTCCTCCCACGGCCGGGCCGCCTGCCGGGGTGCCGGGATGCCCCTGTGCCGCCAGCCGTCCCGGTCACGCTAGTCCTGGGAATGTCTGCAGTGTATGGTGGCTTCCTTCCATCCCAGGCTGGGCTGACGGCCCCTTTTTCACACTGTCTGGTCACCG